AACTTATCAGAAATTGCGCCCGCTATTTGGTGCGCTGCTCTGCGACGAAAACAAGCTTAAGCAATAGTGTCTTCGAACGGTGCACACTCGGTAAATAATCCTACAATTTTTTGTTTATAGCATAGTTTATATGGATTATTCCCAAAAAATTATACGTGTTTTGGAAATGTTGAGTCAAATTAGTCTAGAATCGATTAATTTTATGGAAGAAAACCTTTCAAACAGCCGTAGTCCGTAAACTGCACACGTGCCAGGCTGTGATTGGCTCATGTATTTAAGGATTCCTACAACGCAAAATTCTTACAAAATGGAACATATCTACCGCGTTATAGGGGGTCGACTGTACACTTAATTGGAATAAATAACTTTATGTAAATAATGAAAGGTACTAAATGATGATAATAAATAAAAACTATTAAAAGAACTAAAAACATGTATTTATATACATGATAATACATACTAACAAATTGAATATATTTTAATTAATTAAATTTTATACAATTTTCAAAGATGAAATATCTAGAGAATTCTAAATTTATTTTTATTTCAGATAATATATGATGAACATTAGTCAGGAAAAATTAATTTTTAATTTAAATTACGAAGGCTGTTTCTTTTTCAACCTCCGATGGTCCATAAAACAAAGACAAATGTAAATAACAAAATGAATTTATTACCAAAAGTTAGGTATAAACATGGTTACTTTTCAACCTAATTACCATGAAGATTGAGGCATTTGTCTATCTGTGAATGAACTTTGAAATCCCCTCTTCATAGTGTTGCCACCATTGACTTGAGATGGGCCTTAACATTGTTTTGAAGATCATCATTAGTCTCAAACCTCTGCCCTCCTAGCCACATTTTCAGTTCAGGAAAGAGATGGAAGTCTTCACACATTAAAAAGTTCCAAGCTGTTTGGAAGTAAGTCTTCACCACCTTTACTCACCTAGTGCATAGCTTCGATTTAGTGCCAAGCAATTTCCACCTCTTTTCTGAACTGAAAATGTGGCTAGGAGGGCAGAGGATTGAGACTAATGACAATCTTCAAAACAATGTTAAGGCCCATCTC